GGGAAGTGAAAAAGAATAGACAGAGAGAGAGAGAGAGAGAGAGAGGAATAGACACGAAGAGAGAGAGAGAGAAAGAAAGAATGAACGAGCGCGATGGGGGAGAGACAGGGAGAACACGAGATGGTAGGAGGGAGGGAATAAAAGCGCACGTCCGCTGTGCGACGGGTTTCCTACTTCCGGTCGTACGTTTTCCTTCTCTCGCCTTCGATTCGCCTGGCGCACTGTGGCACGGTCGATGCCGAGCACACGACGAACGTAATGTCCGCGCCCGCCGAAATCCCGATGATTCTTCCTCAGTGGCGGTGGCGGCGGTGACGAAGACCAGGCCGATGGGCGGCGCAGGGTAAACGAAAGAATGAGAGAGAAAGGGAGACCAGAGACGGAGAGAGATAGCGGCGGGTGTGCGCGCTTGGCTCTCTCTCTCTCTCTCGTACGTCTGCGATCGCGCGTAGGTCCCACGAACCGACACGATGCAATCGAGATCCCTGACTGAGCAGCCGTCGCCCGTGGAGCCTTGCCCCGCGAGGCGACAGTGCCGCCAACTGTCACGGGCGCGCCGACGAAAAATCCCTGCCTCACGTCCACGCAGGGATGCTCATTCTTTCCTTCTGTCTCAGATTTTTTTTTTCTCAAACCGAAATACTCATCACCAAAAAGAAAAGTTTGCAATAGTAAGGATGGATAAAACGCATTATAATTTTTAAATTATTAAGATTTAATAAAGTATTTATAGTAGAATATAAAAAGTGATATTTTTTTCACTTTATTTCTTTTTGGATTTATAAATATGTTATAAAAATATTTATAATAATGAAAATATAGACTTTTCTGCAGCGGTATATAGCTTTCAGTTGTAAAATAATAAGATAATTTAGATTCGTCAGTAATTCTTAGAAATACGAAAAATGTATAAAACAAAATAATTAAATCTCACAGGTGCTGTATCGAAGATTAGAACAAATCTTTAATTAGTTAACAAAATTACATCTTTTTTCAAGCTATATTTAAAATTCCGCTGATTGCCTGTTGACATCGTCCTAATTTCATTTCGCGAGGAGAATCACTGGCGATTCGAAGCGCACGTCGAGGAATCGCAGGTTGAGTGTCCGCTCGATCCCTCGTCGGCGATAGGTCGCTCGATTGCGTCCCCGAGGTGCTTCGACCAATCATCGACGCGGGCGGCTTGTCAAGCCGCTGGAATGCATGCGGCGCGTTCCGCTCATTTCGAGCACGAGTGAGTCGCGATCACCGATCGTCCGTGGGAGCGGCGACGATCGCACACGACGATCGTGCGATCCGCATCTATGCGAGCGCGGTGCCGCATCGCGCCGCCGCTGCCGCCGCCGCCGCCGCCGCCGCCGCTACAACCGCGTTCCGCGAGCACGGCTGCGTGGAGCCGCTGCCACCGTCGGCAGTCACCGTTCGCACGCGCGTCGCGACGTACCGTCGCCATTTCGCCGACCGGGACGGCGACCACGATCGCCATCGTCACAACGACAACAACGACGCGAACGAGGACGACGACGACGACGACTGGTGCGGCAATGAAGAAGAGCTGAGTGCGTCTCGCCGTCGTACACACGCCGGACACGTGAGGTACGTGTCTTTCCCCCCCGCCCCAGGTGCATTCCCCTTGTGAGCGCGTCCGCGCGAGCGTCTCGGAGCGTCGATCCGGAGCACTCGGTGTCGACGCATGGAATGTATCTTTTTGTTTTCGTTTTGTTTTATGATGCGCCGCTCGTGACCTTACGACGGATCCCCGTCGTTTATGTTACGGTGGACGTTTGCGGTTTGTTCTTGTAAACGGAGAGTGTTGGTGATCCTTAGACTCACGCAGGGTCTATTCTTTTTTTTTCTCTATCTCTGTTTCTCTCTTGGTGGTGTCGCTCGCTGTGGTGAGATGCGGTAACAATAATCCGAGGTTAATTCTTGTAACGCGCCGATGCGTGTGCTAACCGCGAAGAAATTCTCTTTGCCATATGGTTTTACAATTGTGACCTCGTTTATTTTAACGGAGATTTAAATTGATGCTACCAAGTATAGTGTTCGCCATCCTTATCCCATAATCTCGCATGTGTTTCGTAAAAAATGTTAATTTTGTATCATTTTTATCATTATTGTTTATGTCGTGATAAAAGTTAATTCTGCTAATGTCAATCCATATGTTTTCTGCGAAAAAATATGTTTTCTTTCTATAATATCTCATACTAGGTGTAATAATTCGTGTTTTTACGACTTTTTATTAACTGTTTGAAATTATGACTAGAGTTATAATTGTTTATATTTTATTAATAAAAATTGTGATTATTAATGGCGCGAAATTATTTATCCCGTGTTTAAATACATTGCATTTAATCTCGAAGAATTGTTTTCTCATTGCATAATTATTTCGCGATTTTTAAAAAAAAAATTATCGTTCGTTAATCCTCTATAATATCCGAGTGAGTCACGTGTTTACTCGATCTATTTAATATTTCTTTTTTTTATATACATATTTATATATCTTTTTTTATACTTTTTAATCTCAATGGTTTAATCAACGTTTCCCATTTACCGACCGTGTAATATTTTTTTTTTTTTTAATCAACAATAAAATCCGATTATAGGAGGGTTAACGAGCGTGTAAGATTCGCGGGAATATTCGCAGGTGTTTACGATTCGCGCGTAAACGGCAATTTAATTCCGATAACATCGCGATATTCCGACGCTCGGACGGCAGTTCTCCGTCTCGCTGAAACGTCACTCGCTGGGATTCCACGTGTACGATACGCGCGGGACGGCCGCCTCCCGTGAATCGTTAGGGATATTCTCGTATTCAGATTGCCGGTCTGTCGGTCGGAATCGAGTACTGGAGTACACGCGGCTTGTCTACGTGTCGCGTCGCCTCGCGTTAATGGTCGCGCGCTAATTAATCCGAGGACGGAGAACCGAACGACGATCCGCATGCGAACGAGATGGCTCATCTCCGTTCGAGCTGATTTCCGATCTCGTTGCATTCTCGATATATCGCCGAAAATTGGGGACACATGTTGAAATGAAAATTTTACGTAATTACAAGGGATATAAATATCGGGAAAACTCGAGTCGAAATTTCGACCTGATTTTTACATCCATCTTTTGATACTATAATAAAATTGATTTCTTTTTATATAATCTATATCTATTTGCAGCTTCTATCACAAAATTCTATTGAAGATAGGCGAAAATTCCTCTTTCAAACGTCAAAATAGGAAATCTTTATTCATTTCAAGCGTAAAAATAAGAACTCATTTATGTAAAATAAATTTGTATAATGAACCTGTAAAAAGCTTAAAATTAAAGTAAGGAATAAGAGTCAAATAAAAATTTTAACTTGGGAAATAAAAAGGAAAAATGTTACTCCAAATTAGAAGTTTTCCTATAAATATAGGAGGAGATATAAATTAATTTTAAATCAAGACAAACACATTTTCAGACATTCTTATATATATATATATATATATATATATATATATATATATAATAAA